GTAGTAAAAGCTTACAAAATTATAATATAAGTTACTATATATAATTATAAGATGGTTTCGAATGTATATTACATATGTTTCAATACTTATATATATGTATATAGTACAAGCATGTATATAGTACTTATATATAGTATGTACAAAGCCAGATCGGTTGGGATTTGACTCCGCTTCAGAGAGGAGTTATATCCACTTAACGACTCCACAACTCCGACAACTTTGAAATATACTTGACACAAATGAGTTTTCTAGCGTGTTGTCAACATATCTCAGGATTTATTAAGACTTTGGAAATATATTTCAAATAGTTCAAATATTTCTGTTCATTTAATTATAATAATTATTATTTTATGCATTTCAATATGCATGCGAATCACAAATTGACAAAAAACTTGGAACTTAAAATCAATTTTGTAATTATTTTTGAAGAGAAAATATAGAATTCTTTGAATACGCTTATTTTTATATAAAAATAATGCAGCAAACCGAATATATGAAATAAGAACAAATCTTTCAAATCAATATTTTTCACAAAATAATAATACACCACATTCTTTTATTATTTCCTTTTCGAGAATCATTACATCAGGTACTTTGATTAGCATACTATTACTTTTACACAATTATAAAATCATAATTGTGTAAAAGTTATAATATAATACTAAATATTTTTTAGCTTTTGAAAGAGCTCATTTATGGAGAAACATTATCTTATACAGAATATGCAATACATAATAGCATCATTTTGAGACATTATATACCTGGAAAGTCCTAAAACTAGCTGTGAGACGAGAAAAAAAACACTTCTTTCGACCCAAATCTTTTGTAATAGTAAAAAATCTCAAGCAATTATCTGCACATGTTAACAGATTTAGTATCAGTTTAGGGAAGTCGAATATGACAAATCCAGTGAGACAACTCCACTCAAATTCACTCTGAGGCAGGAGTTGTATCGAAGTGATAACTCCGGAGTGAGTTACCCATCTCCAATATAAATAAATATATATATATTTTTAATAGTCAAGTCATGGATTTTTTTCCATCATCAGGTTTCTTCTGTCAAAAACATTTTTTATATAGACTAACTCTATTAATGACGAAGAATACAGAATATTAAGTAAAAAAGGTTTTTTTAATATAAAGGAATGGATTATGTACCAAATAAAAGTAAAGAAAGGTTTAAAAAAATATAAAGATTATAGGAAAATAAAAAATAAAATTGAGTAGCAAAAATTATTTACCTGCAATATAAATCTATATATCCATATCATAAAATTTTTTTTTTGTTACAAAACACTTATTAATTAATTTTTTTGAGAGTATTTATACATATTTATATATAAATTATTTATTATTCAACAAATACAAAAAACACTTGTGACTTTGACATTTCTATTTCATTGTGAAATCAGGTTAAACAACTATGAAAAAAAACTCTAGAATGGATAGTTAACGGGTCCTCCGCCCAGACGTGAAGGCGCTGCTTTTGGCATTCAAATTAAGGGCGCAAAATTTGAAATGAAAATTAATGAATTTCAGTAACCGGGTATTTGAAACTAAATTTAGTATTACAATCGTATTAAGTTTTGTAATAATACAATAATAAAAAAAAATATACTAGATAATAATTATAAACTAGTGGTATATAGCATAGTGTTTTACAGCATCAAATTGCTGGCACTTCCCGTATCGTAGCGAAATGTTCGAAGAATATTAAATGTTTTCAAACAGATTATTATAAATATTGTAACATTGTCTAATATTTATAACAATTATATAAACTGAATTGCAAAGTTGAAATTATTTGTTTAAAGTATATTAGAACTTTTTGTCAGAATTAAAATTAAAATCTTAATTATTTTCGATATACGAAAAAAATTAAAACAATTTTTTTTGTCCAAAAGCAATTATTTTGTTAAAACAAGAAGAAAATTCTTTGAATCATTCAAATCGGACGCTCAGTTCTCACAAAAACTGCCATTTTTTGCACATTTAGCTCTGTATCTTCGAAATGGCTGGACCTGTCTTTGCCAAAAACTAATCACCTCTTCTCCCAATCATTACAAATTGAATGTTTGTTAGATCATTCAAATCGGATACTCCATTCTATCCATAGATAAAAGAAGAGTTGATTTTATCAAAAACCCGATTTCTATTATCTGCACTCTTTGCTTTGTTTCTCCGAAACGGTTGGGCCTACCCTAATCAGCACATCTTGAATATACTTAGGAAACGAATGTTTTAAACTTCCCGAAGGAAAAAATTATGTTTACATAAAAAAATCCGACTCGCTGATGATTTTATGTTTCTCGACGTTTCGTCATTCTGAATTGAATGAGACCAAATTTGGAAAAAGTATGTATGTGTATGTTGTGTTTGTGAACAATTTTTTGCTGTTTTCTCCAAAAACGGCTGGACCGATTTTAAAAATTTAAAAGCCATTCGATGTATCTCGATGAGGACTAGCGTTGTGCAACGATCGTTCAGAGCGTTTCTTTGTAAATCGCAGAAAAGTGACAAATTTTCGTCCACGTTTTAGCCCGCAATTTTGAAACGATTTTGAAAATTCAAAAGCCGTTCGATAGATATTGGTTGAGAATCGTGATGATTACTTTTTGATAAAGATAGGCCGGGCCGTTTTCTTGTAATAAAGTTTTTTGAAAAAAAAATCGATTTTTATGATTTTTTTGACGGTAGACACCATAGTCTTGTAGACGGCCCTCGTAATTTTAAATATTCTTCAAAGTTTGCAAAAATTAGTATCGTTTTTTGGCATTTGCCAAAATTAGACCTTTGATCGAATTTTTCTCAAAAACGCCTAAACCGATTTCAGAAATTTAAAAGTCATTTGATGTATCTCAATTAGGACTATCGCCTGTCAGTTTTTGTGAGACGATCTGCTGAGCCGTTTTTTTGTAATTTGAAAAAAAGTGTTAAACTTTTCGTCCACGCATTTAAGCTCGAACTACCGAATCGATTTTAAAAAATGAAAAACAGTTCGAAAGATATGGTATAATCCAATCCAAGTTTTTTTTGGTCTTTCGACTTATTGATTACGTTTCAAGTTTTTCAGATTCTTTTCGGATTCAGGATTTTGTGTATAATTGTAAGTAATACTACTGAGTTTATACAAAATTTTCAAATTTCCACGAACAGAGATAGAAAATGATTTAAGTATTTCTTCTTTGACCTGCTTTTGAAAAGTTTCAACTAACATTCTATGAATTAAAGTAAATTTAATAAAAAGTATGTTTGTAGAGCAGGGCGAGGCACAGAGGTCCAATTTGACTTTGAGCAATTCTAAATTATATTATGAAAACCAAACCAATTATATCACAACAAATAGCACATTTCAAATGAAACTGCCAGCTACTACATCATTGTAGAAATGTGCTTTTTTGGTGTCATATTTTATAAAATAATTACATTTATAACTAATGCTAAAAAACTACCAACGGAAGGAAGAAAATACTTTTATTCGATTTTCAAAGATTACCGATTATCTCCGATAGCAAAGTCATAAGAATCAAGGTTTAGCTAGTCATACATATTTTATGTAGGCTAATTTATATGTATTTACATACCTACAATTCGAATTTTTTCATGATAATCTGCTGTATTTAGTAGTTAGTATGTAATGTAATCTAAGAAAATATATATGCATATACATAAAGAAGTTTCAATTTCTTAATAAACATTATTTTCGTTAATAATTAGTCCGGTTGATCAAGGTCCTAATGTATGTACATATATCAGGGCCCATTGCCTCAGAACAAAACCCGACAATATTCAAAGCAATAAACATAAGTTTTGCCATTTAAATTAAATTTTCAACTGTTCATTTCCATAATAAAATTTTCGCTTTTATTGAAAATAAATTAATACAACTTCCTATTTCCAAGTAACATCTTCAATCATATATCCGTGCTACCGAAATCATAGAAGAAAAACTGTACCCAAATATACATTCACACACAACATAGTATAACAAAATAATTAGAAATCTTTGAAATGTAAACATATGATGCAAAACAAAATTTTATTATCAATTTTTGGACGATTACTATGACCAACTCTCCGGGAAGTTAATAAGTGACCAATAAAAACAAATATTGTTCAAGGTCCTTTTTTACACAACAAGTTTTAATTTTTATGTTATTCATATACATATATACATAATTAAATAAAAAACAATTTGATTTAAATAATGACCCTGTATATTCTTGTAAAACTTCTGGCGTAACAATATTTGTGAGCAATGTGAGCAATAAATAAAGTTAATATATTGTATAAGTCACCACAAATATTTTCAAAGATACTTATAAGCAATAATAAGTCTGCTAATTATAATTATAATGTGTTTAAAATTATGAAAATTTAATCCTCTATTATAAATTGTTCTACAGTATGAACAGTTTTATATTGGTTTAATGATTGCCAAGCTGCGAATGTTTTATTGCATGTGGTTCATCAATGATTGCTTCTCTTATGTGGATTAATTCATGTCGTTTTAAATTTCGTTTTAAACTGAGTGCTTTATTGCATATCTTACATTTATATGGTTGTTCTCCTGTATGAATCATTAGATGTTGGTTTATATATATCTTTTCTTGTGAATGATTTATTGCATAAAGCACACTTATGAGGACGGATTCCAGTGTGGATCATTTCATGCAGACTTAAATATTTTTTTTTTTGCGAATGTTTTTTTACATACTGCACATTTATGATTGCTTTCTTTAGTATGAACAAATTCATAGTTTAAATCTTGTTTTAATTTGAATGCTTTATTGCATATTTTTTATTTGTGGTCGTTCTCCAGTATGAATTATTGAATGTCGCTTTAACCTTTCTTTTGCTATGAATGCTTTATTACATATTTTGCACTTGTAAGGACGTTCTCCTGTATGATTCCTTTTATGTGAATTAAATCTTTATTCATTTTAAATGCTTTATTACATATTTCACATTTGTAAGGACGTTCTCCTGTATGAATCCTTTTATGTCGAATAATGCACCATTTTATTATAATGCTTTATTACATATTTCACATTTGTAAGGACGTTCTTCTGTATGAATCCTTTATGTCGAATTAATTCACCATTTGTTATAAATGCTTTATTACATATTTCACATTCGTATAGGCGTTCTCTTGTATGATATTTTTTGTGTTGTCTTAAATTACTATTTGTTTTAAATGCTTTATTACATAGTTCACATTTGTAATGACGTTCTTCCGTATGAACCTTTTTATGTTGACTTAAAGTCCAATTTTGTTGTAAATGCTTTATTACATGTTTCACATTTGTAACGACGTTCTTTGTGATGATATTTTTGTGTTGTCTTAAATTACTATTTGTTTTAAATGCTTTATTACATAGCTCACATTTGTAATCACGTTCTTCCGTATGAACCTTTTTATGTTGACTTAAAGTCAATTGTTGTAAATGCTTTATTACATGTTTCACATTGTAAGGACGTTCTTCCATATGAATCTTTTTATGTTGATTTAAATTACCATTTGTTGTAAATGCTTTATTACATATTTCACATTTGTAAGGATGTTCTCTCGCATGAAATTTTTTTATGTTGACTTAAATAATCATTTGTTGTAAATGCTTTATTACATGTTTCACATTTGTAAGGTTGTTCTCCTGTATGAATCATTTTATGTTGACGTAAGGTGATAATTGTTGAGAAATTTTTATTGCAAGTTTACATTCCAAGGGTTGTTTCAAGTTTAGGGTAGTTTTAAGTTTTCCTAACTTTTTTTTAACTGATTTATTGCATTCACTTGTAATATCACTGCTCTAAATCACTTGACTCTCTGACATGGTTTTGTTCTTACTAGTGTTGCAACATGCTCATCAATCGGTTCATGCTTTACTTCTTCCTCAAATGTTACTTCAGATTTTAAAAATTGCTGTAGACATATTTCCTCGTTTTCCGTATAAGAATATCATCAAAATGTGATTCATCTGGATCATCAAT